TGGACCACCAAGAAAAAAAATAGATCTGTCTTGGAGAAGGTGAAACCAAGTTTCCCTTGGAAGCTAGGATTTTGAAACTCCATCTTACATACTTTGGGCATGTGGCCAGGAGGACCGATCCTTGGAGAGGATATCGTTATCATGCTCTGAAGAGTGGTGGGACGGCACAGGAGAGGAAGACTCCAGATGAGATGAATTAATACAGTAACTAGGACAATGGGGGGGTGGTATGTCAAGGCAGTGAGACTGGCTTAAGACAGGTCAGGATTCAGAGCTGTTGTATACAGGGTTCTTTTGAGTTCCAGGCGACTCAACAGCACATAACAGCAACAACATTACTCACAACATTATACTTCAGAATAGAACTTGAAATTATCTCTGTGACATCAGGATTGGAGGAAGACTCATCAAAAACTTGTGTCATAGTATCTCATTATTGTTTTGATTTGCATCTCTCTCTCTCATTGCCAGTGATTTGGAGTATTTTTCATGTGTCTGTTGGCCATTTTACTATCTTCCTCTGTGAAATTTTTCTCATGCCTTTTGCCTATTTTGTAATTGGATTCTCAGTCTTTTTCTTGTGGAGGCCCAGGAGTATTCTATAAACTTTCATAATGAGACTCTTGCCTGAAGTAGTATTGCTAAACATCTCACTCTAGTAGCTGTGGCAAAGTTTAACAAGACAGTAAGTAATAAATGTTGGAGAGGATGTGGCAAGATAGGAACTCTTATACATTGTTGGTGGGACTGGACTGTAAAATGGAGCAATTCTGAAAGGCAGGTTGGCACTTGCTCAAAAAGGTGAACATAGAAATTCCATATGACCCAAATATTCCGTTGTTTGGAATATAACCCAAGAAAATGAGAACTGAGGCTTAAACTTGTGCACCAATGTTCATAGCAGCATTATTCACCATTGAAAGAACATGGAAACAGCTTAGTTGTCCAACCACCAACGAATGGATTGAGAAGCTTTTGCACATTCATGCAATAGAATACTACACAGCAGGCAGGAGCAATGATTTTGTAAATTGCTACCTAATTTGGGAGGGACTGGAGAGCATTATGCTAAATGAACTAACTCAGTCCTACAAGGATAAATAATGTATAAAACCATTCTTGTAGAATGAGTATAAAGATCCAAGGGGTGGGGAGGGTGAAAGCAGAGAGGTGAGGGTGGACAGGGAGATGGGGTGTTAATCATAGAGTTGCACAATTCGATGGGTGGGAGGGTGAAGGAAGTGGAAAGGACCTTATATGAAAAACAGTGTATTTGAACTTTTAAAATAAATCAGTATAAACTTAAAAAAAATACACCAAAACAAAAATACCTATGTTATGTATATGACACATCCTGGCTTGCTTAAAAATGAGGAATATTTGAGTGCTTGCTGCAGAAGATCAAAGATACAACCTTCAATATGGATTACATCTCAACATCAAGAAAACAAAAATTCTCACCACTGGGACAATAAGCAACATTATGTTGTTGTTGTTGTTGTTGTTTTATTGTTGTTGTTGTATGTTGTTAAGTCACTTGTGACTCATAGCGACACTATGTACAACAGCCCTGAAACTTTTCTATCATGTGCCAAATTTATTGTCTCTGACACACCTACCTTTATTACCCTAGTCACTGTATCAGTCCATCCCATCAATGGTCTCTCTCTCTCTTTCTCTGTCCCTCCACCCTTCCAAGCATGATGTTCCTCTCCAAGGTCTGGTTTCTCCTTGCAACATGCCAAAAATATATCAGATGAAGCTTCAGAATCCTTGCCTACAAAGAGCAGCCTGGCTTCACCCTATCTAGGACAAACCTATTTGTTCACCCGGTAGTGCTTGGTATATGCAACACTCTTCTCCAGTGCCGTGGCTGAAAGGCATCAATTCTCTTCCTGTCATCCCTAGTCATTGTCCAGCTCTCTGACAAATAGAAAGCAAATTACGAAGACCTTGGCCTGGATC